GTAGTGTCCCAGGGTCATGTGATCACTTTTGGCGACTTTCTGACAAGCAAAGACAATGGGGAAACCAGATTCACTTAACCATGTTACTAACTTAACAACTGTAGTGATTCATTTAACTGTGGCAAGAAAGGTCGTAAAACGGGGCAAAACTCACTTAACAAATGTCTTGCTTAGCAACATAATTTCTGGGCTCATTTGTGGTTGTAAGTCGAGGATTACCTGTACTAGTTTTTAAGGGAACTTTGTTTTGTTTTGCTTTTGTATATATCTCTGGTCTTTTTTTCTCTCTTTAAAGAAACAGGAACATTTTTTTAATCCATTCTCTATTGTGGGAAATATCTTAATTTTTCCTGTGGTCATTTTGTTATGGAAGTTCTACTTCTTTTGTCCTTGAGAGAAATTACCTACATTTTATTGTGAAAGTCCGGCCATAAAAGAGATTTGGACTATATTAAAAATGAAAATAATAAATTAAGGATTTTGAAGATTATACATCATATACTTTTTATAATGCCCACAAAAAGAGATATAAAAGGAAGGTGAGAGCCAGATCAACTTAAAGTCAAAGCCTTCTTGGAAGCCTTTGAAAAAAATGCTTTTCAATTTACAAGCTCTGAATGAAAATTTATATAAAAGGTTTGATGAGTTGACAACTGTTATAAATCAACCTATGACACTCAGATACAGGTAACAGCAGCTAAATCAGACTTGCAATTGGGTAAATTGGAAGTCAGTTTGTTGCTGAAAGAATTGAAGGAGAGAGAACGAGCTTTGTTTCAGAATTGCAGGCTTGTTGGAGAAGGCTGAAAGTGGCTTGAATTTAAAAGGCTTAGCAGTGACAAAATGGATCAGTGGTGAAGTGGACTTTCTTAGGAAAATTGGTGAAGATTGTGAAATAGACTTATATTCAACCAGAAGACAACTGTCAAGAGATGCTGTGTTTCAACTTGTAGGAAGACTGTTTGAGCAACAAAGGCTGTGGAGATATTTACAACAGAGAGTTATGACTTTGGGAAATGAAATGCAATTTTGTGGAAAGATCCCACTTATAATTGTAAGGAAAAGTTCTATTATTAAGAATCAATCAAGGATATTTGATCCTGGATGGAACAAAGATAATGACTGCAACAGGTTATGTTAGATTAGAAGCTGTTGTGGACTTTCTGTGAGTTAAATACATTACTTACCTGACAGGACTCCTCATATGCCCAACATGGCCCCAACCCTGTTAGCCTTTCGTAATGCCCTAAAAACCTGGCTATGTTCCTGAGCCTGGGGTGTTGAATGTGTTAAGGGATCCAATTTCTGGCTGTATTGCTAATGGGCCAAGTATCTCCAAGCTTCTGCCTTAGTGTATTTTTGGGTTTAAAGTGTGTATGTATATTGTGCTGGTTGAAAATCCTCCTGAGCTTTTCAGATAGTCCTACAATGTCAGAGTAGGACTTCTGGTTTTGCGCTGTAGCCCCTGGTTGCGGGATCGCAGACCTCCACACCCCGCAGCTAGTTTCGCCCTGCCAGGGGACCCTAAATGGGTCTAAGTCGCCCCGGAGAGGTGCCGAAGAAACGAAGGGTGCCCCGACAATTCTGGAACAATGGTGGTCATTTCGCTTGATTCGGGGAAAGCCTTCTAACCCGACAGGAGAAAGGCTGGACACACTTTGTTGACCAGTCCAAGCTACTTGCAGCCGAAGTCCAAAGGCACTAACCAGCTCAACAGTGAACAGCGTGCTTGAAACTGGGTGAGGAATTTCATCTTCTCTCTCCTATTTTATATCTGATTTCCTGGAAAAGTTCCCCAAGAAGCAAAAAGCCTCCCAAAGTGAGAAGGGAGGGGATTATTTCACTCTTCTATAGACGGAAGCGGTGAATTAAACCTTTATGGGGAATAAAAATATGAAATACTACAGTTTGGATAAATTTGAAAGTAAGAAAATTGTTAAAACTCTATTCCATCTGATGGAAGCAGGAAGCTCCGACGGAGGCTGATAGGGATGACACCCAGGGAGGAAGCTGGGAACGGTCCTACCTGCCCTGCGGAGGCGCCGAACAGCTGAGCAGCTGCGCCGCCACCGAAACAGCTGAGCGGCACAGAACTGACAGCCGGCAGCAAGGACCGAAACAGCAGACCGGAAAGGAGAGCCAAAGGCCTGCATTACTGCCTTTCTAGGTTATTCACCGGATGCTGGCTAACTGGATGGGGGATGGAGCTGAGGGGAAGGACTGTATGTAAGGTGCTGGGAGAAAGTCACTCCCAGCACTGACTTTGTTTGCCGTGATTAAACGCTGGTCAGACCGTTCCTGTTTTGCCAGCAACCTTGTCGTCCATCACTTGTCTTCTGTGGGAACCAGGGCTGGTAAGGACGCTGACAGAAAGTCAGCGCTCATCTTTATTTGTCCCTACCCATTACCCTTGTGCTTTATTCAGGGAATGGCTGAGGGTACACAGGAGGTGGCACCTGTGGGTGAAGGAGGAGAACCAGCTGCGGTGACAGAGCCAACTCCTGATGCGGGAAGTGAAGACGCTCAGCCATTGGTGCAGCCCAAGGTGTGTGAGGCTCGCCCTGCAGGTCCATTGAGCGATACCCAGATGGTTCCAGGGGTGTTGCAGGATGCAGGGGCCTCAGGAGAATGGTGGCATAGTTCAGCTGTATACACACCGGGTACCGTGGGCCCCATGATGAAGTGGAGGGAGAGGCATTTGACGGATGACAACGGGGACTGGAGCTATTCCACGGCACCAGGACAGCATACAATGAACATTCTGAGGGACTGGTTTGGTGAGGCCGGGTTCCAGGATCCTCACTCATGTTGGGTGGGAGGTGGGACCTGAGATGGCTTCGTGGCCATGGATGCAGACCCTGCCAACCCAGTTGGGGCCAATCCGGTTCCGTTTGGCCAGCCCGAAGTTAAGGGTAGGGGCTAGTCACACTCCTGATACCCCACCAGTAAGGGGCCCTAACCAGGGTGTACCAACAGGACAACTACGGGCTGCATGGGAAGGCAGGTCACTGTTGGATCCAGACCGCGCCCCCCGCCAGGCAACCGGTTCCAGCAGCTGGATCCTCGGCCCGGTGGGGAGTAGGGCCCGGGGAACAGCGCTCTCCATCTGCGGTTGACTCCCTGCAAGGTCTGGGTTGGCCCTTGGGGCCAAGGGATGGCCCGGGGTCCTCCACCATTGAAGGCAACATTTGATGCGGACCCGGACCGTTTGGCAATGTTCCTAAGCCAGGTCATTAGCCATGTAGACCACTATGCTCGCTTTTATCCATCACAGTGGGCATTGGTGGTGGCGATAACTGCAGGGTTACAAGGCAAAGCGACCATGCCAGGGAATTGGCCGACGCCTATTCTTGGAGTCTCTGCGATCCCGTTTTGAAGACGTGTCACGGGTCCAGTGGGCCGAAGGGGAATTGCTGGCACTGAAGCAGCGAGGCCGGTCCGCAGCCGAGTATGTTCGTGAGTTCCGGAGGGTGGCCGGCATGGTGAGGGACAATGGACGAAGGACCCAGGGCCCTGGTCCAGGTTCCTCTGGAGCCAATCCCCGGCCATCATTTAGATGTTTTCGTTGCAACCAGCTGGGACATTGGGTAGTGGAGTGCCCGGTCCCCGTTCCACAGGAGATTCCGGGGACCCCTGGGAAAGCCGAGGCCACACACAAAAAGACCCCAGAGAAGCTGAGGGTGGCACATCAGGTGGAAAGGCCCACCCCTCGAAGAAGGATCCTGGAGGAGGAGGCAACCACTGCCACAAGATACCAGCTGGTGGCCTATGACAGTGAGGATGAGCCAACGGAGGTAAGTGAGCCCATACAACCGTTTGTCATCCCCATCACTTTAACAAGTCCGCAAACAGGTCACCGTGGTGAGTACAGGTCCCTGGAGCCGTTGTCTGATTAGTAAGGCCATAGTGGCGGAGGTAGGGATCAGAGTGAGGCAGCTAGCCAACCCGGTTCGGTTTGAGCAGGTGGATGGTTGCCTCCTTGGGGGGGGTGCCGGCTACCCTAATAACGGAGCCAGTGCGGCTAGAGATGGGGGCCCATTGGGAGGTCTTCCGGTTTATCGTGGTCCCCTCCATGACCGAGGCCGTCATCCTGGGGCTTGCATGGCTGGACAAGTGGGGCCCTATGATCTGGTGGGAAGGGGGTACTGAAAGTTACGGATTGGTGTTGGCCCTCGACCGCCTGCTCAGGAACAATCAAAAAAGGGTGGAGAGAGAGCCAGGGAGGCACCAGTAAGGCAGGAGAGAGCGAAGGGGGAAGCCCCCTTCCCGGCGGTGTATGCCAACCTCGCCGAGGTTTTTAGCGAGCATGAGTGTGATGTGCTACCTCCTCACCGGCCAACTGACTGCACAATTGACATTTTGCCGGGTGCCAAACTGCCAAAGCCCCGGATGTACGAAATGACGCGCAAGGAGATGGAGGAGCTGCGTCAATACATTGACAAGAACTTGGCAAAGGGTTTCATCCAGCCGGCATGATCACGGATTGCAGCTCCGGTGCTCTTTAAGGAGAAAAAGGATGGATCCCTGCGCCTGTGTGTAGACTTCCACGGCATCAACGGGGTTTGCGTTGAGAACATGTACCCTCTACCGCTAATGAAAGACCTATTGGCCCATTTGGCAAAGGGGAAGGTGTTTGCAAAACTTGACCTCAGAGAAGTGTATTACAGGGTCCAAATCAAATGAGGAGACGAGTGGAAGACGGCGTTCAACTGCCCACTTGGAAGCTACCAGTTCCGGGTGATGCCATTCGGTTTGCAGGGGGCCCCTGCAGTGTTCATGCAGCTCATCAACGAGGTATTGCATGAACACCTTTACTGTGGGGTGCTCGTGTATCTGGACAATATCTTTATACCTCCAACATGACAGAACACGTCTGACTGGTAAGACAGGTGCTAGACAAACTGCTGAGGGCACACTTGTATGTTAAACTGTACAAGTGCGAGTTCCATCAAACCCGGTTGGACTATTTAGGGTACCGGATATAGGGGGAAGGGGTGGAGATGGACCCTGAAAAAGTCAGGGCTGTGCTGGAGTGGCAGGCACCACGGACCCGCCGTCAGCTGCAGAGTTTCCTGGGGTTCGCCAATTTCTACCAGCAGTTTATCCCCTTGTTTGCTACGATGGCCTTACCCCTAATGGACCTGCTCCGCACCCGACAGACAGCAGCCAAGCCATGTCCCGGTCAACCTCTAGCGTGGACGTTGGCCTGTCAAAAGGCCTTTGAGGTCCTGAAGGCCCTTTTTGCAAGGGAGCCGGTTCTACTATATCCTAACCCCGACCTGCCATTTGTCGTTCAAGCCGACGCCAGCGATGTCGCGATGGGGGTGATTTTACTCCAGAGGAACGGGCAAGGGACGTTACAGCCCTGTGCTTACACCTCCCGTAAGCTGACAGACAGAACGAGCATGGGCAATATGGGAGAAGGAGGCGTTTGTAGTACGGTGGGCGTTGTCAACTTGGCAACACTTTCTGGAGGGAGCGAAAGAGCCGTTCGAGGTTTGGACGGACCATAAAAATCGTGAGGCTTTGCAGACACCGCGGTGCCTGTCCCCAAAACACGTACGATGGGCCCAATACTTTCAGCGTTTTCGCTTTCGGTTGAAGTATGTGCCAGGGGGTAAGAACTTTTTGGCGGACGTGCTGTCACACATGCCCCAATATAAGAGTAAGCGGGAAGAGGTGGTACAAGCCATTATGCCTTCCTTCAGGCAAGCGGTAGTGCAGGTGGTTGCACGCAAACCGGCAAACGCCCTGGTCCAGGAGCTGCATAAAGCAACCCAAGACGATCCCTGGCTACTGGACCATCAAGCCCTGCTAATGAAGAGGGATGGGCTGGCTTGGAAGGGTGACGAGCTATATGTCCCACAGACGTTAAGACCGAGGGTGTTGCAACGGTGCCATGATGTGAAGCAGGCAGGACACTTCGGGTTTCTTAAAACCCTGCACCTAGCGAGACGCCAATTCTGATGGCCACAGATGAAGGCGGACATAGAGACCTATGTATGGGGTTGCCCTGTGTGTGCCACCGCAAAGCATCGTACCGGTAGGCCGACAGGGTTGCTGCAGAAAGTGGCAGACCCGACCCGGCCATGGGAGGATATATCAATGGACTTTATCGTGGAGCTGCCGGAGAGCCGTGGTTATACAGTGATCTGGACAATTGACCTCTTTTCCAAGCAGGCCCATTTTGTTCCGTGCAAGGGGTTGCCATCCACTCGTAAGCTGGCGAAACTGTTCATCACGCAGGTGTACCGCCTGCACGGGGTGCCCCGACGGATCATCTCGGATCGGGGGTGCAGTTCACGGCCCACTTCTGGCGTGAGTTCATCCGTTCCATTGGGTCATCCCAAGGACTTAGCTCAGCTTATCATCCCAGTACCAACGGGGCGGCAGAACGGGCCAACACGATGGTGGAGCAATACCTGCGGTGCTACGTCTCTTATCAACAAACGACTGGGTTGAACTGCTACCATTCGCAGAAGTAGCGTATAATAACGCGGCGCACAGCAACACCGGTTTCACCCCCTTCTGGGTGGTACATGGCCTGGATTTCGTCCCGATCCCTGAGTGCTCTCAGCAGGACCCTTCCCCCTGTCAACCCCATGGTTGGATAGCTCACATGGGGGGGGAGGTTTGGGAAACGTGAAGAAAGCCTTAGTGAGAGCAGAGGAGGCCGCAAAGGCGCAGGCAGACAAGAAAAGGAAGCCCCAAAAGCCTTTTCGGGTGGGGGACATGGTATACTTATCGACTAAGTACATACGCCTGCGGGTGCCCTGCAAAAAGCTGGGACCAAAATATCTAGGGCCGTTCCGGATCACGCAGGTCATCAATCCAGTAGCCGTACGACTACAGCTACCCCGGTTCCTGGGGAAGATACACCCAGTCTTCCATTGTAGCCTACTGAAACCAGTAGAGGGGACCTCCTTTAGGTCCGTGACAAAGGTACCGGGTCCTGTCACGGGATCATTACGAAGTTCAAGAGATACTGGACTCCCGGGTCCGACAGGGTCGGCTGCAGTACCTGGTATGGTGGAAGGGATACCCTGTTACGGAGGCATCCTAGGTGGGGGAAGCGGATGTCCAAGCCCCCCAATTGGTGAGGAAGTTCCACCAGCAGTGTCCCAGTAAGCCGGGAGGGGGAGTCAGCTGAACCATCCACCACAACGGGTGATTGATCACATGTTTCTCCTTGCCTTCCAAGTGGAGCCCTGGTAGAGGGGGCCGCCTGTCAAGCCCCGTGGGCTCGCCAGTTACGGGAGGGGGGGAGATGGAAATCCTCGGGGAAGCCAGTAATGCCGCCGAACAGCTGGGCAGTTCCCTGGCCCGGCGCTGGAACGGGTACGACGCCGAATGGCTAAACGGGCCCCGGCACAGCCGCCGGACAGCTGATAGAAGCAGGAAGCTCTGACGGAGGCTGATAGGGATGACACCCAAGGAAGAAGCTGGGAAAGGTCCTACCTGCCCTGCAGAGCCGCTGAACAGCTGAGCAGCTGTGCTGCCGCCGAAACAGCTGAGCGGCATAAAACTGACGGCCGGCAGCAAGGACCGAAACAGCAGACCGGAAAGGAGAGCCAAGGGCCTGCATTACTTCCTTTCTAGGTTATTCACCGGATGCTGGGTAACTGGATGGGGGGTGGAGCTGAGGGGAAGGACTGTATATAAGGCGCTGGGAGAAAGTCACTCCCAGCGCTGACTTTGTTTGCCGTGATTAAATGCTGGTCAGACCGTTCCTGTTTTGCCAGCAACCTTATCGTCCATCACTTGTCTTCTGTGGGAACCAGGGCTGGTAAGGACGCTGACATTGACAATATAAACGAACATATTTCTAACTTAAACCTCCAATTAAATAATACTCAAAAAATGACAACAAAGAATGAACAAACAAATCAGACAACAGAACATAAATGAAATGAAAGTAACTTAAATAGAAAAGCTATAAATGAAGAAAACTACAATTTAATACAAAAAAAATCTGCAAAACCTCACTATATTAAAGAATACAAAAAAGATGCTTTATCCTCCAGGACTTCAAAACAAATTTGAGGATAAAAAGAAGAACTAATAAAATGGATTAAAGAACTGTCAGAAGAATCATTAAAATGTGGGAGACAAAAACCTGATACTTTACTTGATTTGTCTTTTTGTCCCCAACAACACTTACAAAAATACAATCTGGCAAGCCAAACTTACTGATTTGGAAAGCGACCTGGCAAAAGAAGAAGATTAAAATTGGAGTCAAGGGAGGTGGGAACAACGGCGCAACAACTCGCAATGAGGGCAACGGGCGCAGCCCACGCAAGATCAGAACCAGGAGCCCATGCAACAGCAAAGAACTACGACCGGCGAGGGGAAGGAATCCCCAACATGATCCGTGCAGGAACTAATGATGGGAGGTGAGGTGCTACACACGCAACGGGGGGGATGGCTATAGGACAGGAAACATTGGAAGACCATCCCATGGCAACAGGTATCCAGCCACGCCCAAAGCGGGCAAAGAGAGTGACAACAGGAGAGGCGAGGATCCCTGAACTCACAAATATGCAGACGGATGTGAGACAACTAGAAGCAATACAATTAGCGGGGGCAGGTAGACCGGTAACGCACTCCATGAGCTGAGCGCAAAGGCAGTTGGTCTTATAAGCAGGCTTTTGAACCTCCGGCATTCCACTCTTGACGACGTCGGCAGTTAGCCGACGAAAGCTAAGTTTATTAAACAGTTGTTGTTTTTTGCATTATCCCGGTGTTCGACTATTTTTCTCAACACGAATATACCCGGGATTCGCATTTTTAGTGTAATTAGACACACACACACACACACACACACACATATATATATATATATATAGAGAGAGAGACTATATATATGTATCAGGGAGGGAAGAGACGGGAGGAGATATGTCTTGAGTGTTTTGTTTTTTTATACACCTGTTGGCCCAAATATGGGAGGAAGAAATCTTTTGCCTGTATCAGCTCAATCTAGCAGGGCTTTTCAACCCGTGGTACGCGTACCACTTGTGGTACATTAATGAGTGGCAGGTGGTACACAGCCAAGTGTAGTGGGGGAGGGAAAGAGCCAGCGCAGGCAAGGACTTACTGTGAGAGAGTCCTCTGGAGCTGCAGAGTGGCTGAGGCTGAGCCTCACCCCAGGCTCACTTCTGGTTCACCCTCCCCCATGAGAAAGGAGGAGGAGGGGGGCAGAGACAGGAGAAGCTATAAAAGGAGGCAGTTTGGGCAGGAGAGGGAAAAAAAAGAAGCAGCCTCGGGAGGATGTGGAGTCAGCTCTAGCTGCACCGAAGGGGAAGGAGGAGAGTGGGGGGGGAGAGGAGATCAAGGAGTCCAAGCAGGCCGGCCATGAGCCGATCTACAACTTCTGCGGCAGCCACCTGTGCTGCCAGCAACAAACAGGCAAGAAATGCAGCAGGGGAGGGGTTGCCCTCCAGGANCCGGCAGCCAATACTTACTACATTTTTTTTCTTCCTTAAGTGCCGGCTGCACTCATTAACTTTCCTTTCTAGCCAGTAGCTAATTCTTAAAGGGGAATGTGCCTTTTTAAGCTAGTTCCCTCAGCAGCTTCACTTTTCTGTCTCTGGAGGCTTTTCCTTGTTTGATGAATATATGGAAGAGGGAAAATATGGGGGGGGGTTTTCACATTCTTCCTTCAGAAGGAGGTGGGCATGAGAAAGAGGGAGGGAGGGAAGGAGGGAGGGAGGGAGGGAAGGAAGTCCCGCTTTAGCACTTGGCCACTAGCAGCCCTGCTGTTGACTTTGCTTGTCAAAAGGTTGCAAAAAGGGATCATATGACCCTGGAACACTGTAATCATCATAAATGTGAATCAGTTGCCAAGCATCCAAAGATAAATCACATGACCCTGGGCATGCTGCAATGGACATAAGTGTGAAAAATGGTCATAAGTCATTTCAGTGCAATTGCAACTTTGAACAGGTTTTTTGTTTTTTTTGGTCATCAAGTTTTTGACACCTTGCTAGGTGGTACTCAAATATTGCCATAGCCTAAAAGTGGTACAGTCGGTGAAAAAGGTTGAAAAGCCCTTATCTAGAGCCATCCACAGGCAGCAGTTGCTACTGCGACATCAGGGAGGGAAGAGACAGGGGAGGAGATATGTCTTGAGTGGGGTTTTTTTGGATACACCTCCCTGATACAGCTGACAAAGTGAGAAAGAGCCTGTGGGCTAGAGGTCAACACAGCTGCCTAATGTGCAAGCAGCCCAGGTTCGAATCTCAGAAGGGTATGGCTGGCTGATGAGAGCTAATCAGCTTGAAATAGCTATCCCAGTTCTCCTTAATTCTTTGTTATCAATCCCAAAAAATTTAGCAAACACAAATGATGTCGCAGTAGCGACTGCTACCTGTGGATGGCTCTAGATTGAGCTGATAAAGGCAAATGATTTCTTCCTCCCATATTTGGGCTGACAGGTGTATCAAAAAAACAACAACACTCAAGACATATATATGAAAAGCCCTGATCTAAGTCTTCTGTCGTAGCATTTGGTTGTTTCACTTTCTCTATAGAATTCTGTATAGGTGATTCTTTGGTTGAAGTCATAGTTTGAGTTTGCATATCCAGACTTATACGGAGAGTTTGGATAATTGCTTTTAACATACAAAGAATTTGTTCCTGTGCTTCCTCTGTAGGAGAAATCCATTCCTGTTCTTCCATTGTAGTATATTAAACAAAAAAAAACTTAGTCAGAAAGTCCACCAAGTGAGGAGCTGAGCTGAGTTTCTTGCAGCTGGTGCTTCAAGGTTGCTTTATCTCTTATCTATTTTCAAAGCTGTCAACAAGTCTCTCTTAAAGAATAGCAGGTTACAGTCTCAAATTTAGCCACCAGATGTTATCTCAGAGTTAGTTGGATCTTTTCAGTTTTTTCCCCTCTATTTTAAGGACACCACCCCCCCCCAAATCTTCAATAATAATTAGAGGAAAAATCAGAGGAAAAAAAAATAGAGAGTAGAAAGTTACAAATCTTATAATCCACCAATTTTAGGAAACAGAATTCCAATTAGGATCCCAGTATTTTTCCGACGTTTTAAACTCCCCTGAGTGGTCGATCGCCGCTGTTTCTGGAGGGAGGGCTAAAATGCCCCTTCCCTCACCACAGGGGGGAAAGTACTTTAGCAGCTTATGTAGGTAATTAAGTAATTAGCATGTAAGAGAGGTAGATCTCACCCAGTCTCTTCCACGCTGCTTTAGAGTTGCCAGATGGTAAATGCGATTTCGGCTGTTAGCAGCCTAGAGATGAGCCATATTTCTATGGCCGGTCCATTCGTCCACCAGTTTGGAGGGATCGCCAGCTCTAACGGGAGAGTTGCTGCTCTCCCGCGACCCAGCGAAAGCCCCTTCTTGCTGGTCGCCTCTTCGGGGTGACTTTCGGCCCTTTTCAGGGGCCCCCAGCGATGCAAAATTGAACGGGGGAGAGAGAGCAAGTCTCCCAGCCATCCATGGCGGCTGCGTGACAAACCAGAAGCCTCTGCTTTTCCAAAGGAATTTCATCGAGTCACTTGAGGGAAAGCATACTGTAGTAGATTAGTGTTACAGAACATGGCAAATCTTACATACTTCAGTACAGGTAGTCCTTGACTTACGACCACAATTGAGCCCAAAATTTCTGTTGGTAAGCAAGGCAGTTAAGTGAGTTGTGCCTCATTTTACGACTTTTTTGTCACAGTTGTTAAGTGAATCACTGCAAGTTGTTAAGTGAATCATGTCATTAAGCAAATCTGGCTTCCCTCATTGACTTTGCTTGTCAGAAGCCAGCTAGGAAGGTTACAAATTGTGAACATGTGATCCCAGGACAGTGCAACTGTTGTAAATACATACCAATTGCCAAGCACCCAAATTTTGATCATGTGACCATGGGGATGCTACAATGGTTGTAAGTGTGAAAAATGTAAGTCACTTTTTCAGTGCTGTTGTAACTTCGAATGGTCACTAAACGAATGGTTGTCAGTTGAGGACTCTCTACACGTGGCTGTTATTGTCCTTTCTTATCCTATAACATCCTAATCAAAGCATTCACATTTATATGCATATAAAGCAATCATTAACATAAAATAAGACTCCACTATCCAAGGAGTGGCATTACAGTAGCAAGTGTACAAGCTAGCTGGACAACTGTTTTGTTCAACTGGTTCTTGAATGGTGGTGGTGGTGATGATGTGTGACTTGAAGTATCAGTGGGAATACAAACTGGTGAATGTTTCTATCTTAATAGTTTTTTATTTTGGGAAGAAGAATGATAATAAATTATTGTCACTTTCTGTTAGCTAATCAGCATTTGGGTCTTAAAAAGCCCTTGTCTTTTTAATGGACAGAAGTACATTCTGTCATTGTGTTGTTACAGGGGAGAAAATCAATTACAGAGCTTAAATTTTAAACAGTTTCTCCCCTTGCTGTTGATGAAATAGCTAAATATCTGTCTGTAACCCATTTATTTAAAATGAAGAGTAGGATATCTATGTTAGTTTTTCATACTTTTTATAATGAATATCTCAGCTGCTTAGATACTTAGGATAATGTAGGCATGAAATGTTGTCTTCCTTATTATTGAAATAAGTTTTCTTTATTTCAGAGCACATACAGTATATGTGTGTGCATATGTATATGAAGGGGGCAAGGGATCATTGTTAGACACCAGAAAATTAAAGTAGCTTCATTTTTAGTTGCTTAGGCTGTATTAAATAGCAAATAAATATCATGGTTTTAAAATATAATTGTTGGGAGCATAAAGTAGACATTCAGACTTTGGGATCAATGGGATAGAAGTTCAATAATTATATGGATTTCAGTAAGCTTGAAAAGAAATGGCATTCTTGCAGGGCTGCTGTGATTAAAACATTTTGAGTTCCCTGTAAACATGTTGTCCTTAGAATCTGGGTTCACAGTCACAACAAAAGATGGTGGCCATTTGTGCAGATTATAAATAGATACTTTCATCTGTTAGACATTTTCTTCCAAAAGTAAATGGACTAATGAAGAAATGCTACAAGAAGAATTGTGCTTCATTTCTGCCTCATCCCCCTCCTTTTTTTTATCCTGCAGGGCCCTCCAGATTTTCAACAAAACCCTCCTGAACCTGTTCCTACCAATTTCAACCAAGCCCCCCGACTTTCCCTCCAAGATCAGTGGCGAGGGCCACCACCCCCTCTTCCGCCTCCACCTCCACAGGAGAGAGAACCTTTCTTCATGGGAGGTATGACCATTGTCTTACCAGTGGGAAGAGACCTTTTCCTTGGTTCTCAGGGAGAACTTACCAATTACATGCATACTCTTGAAGCAACATGACTGTTATTCCAGCTCTTTCGTATACACTGTTTACCTTGTTAATGTATCCTTACCACAGAAAATTTTCAGGAAGTGATGCACTAACCACAGAATGATTTATTGTCAGGCACAAAAGACCAGGTCCACATGTGAAGGTTAATTAAACTGATTTATTGCTAATCATGCCTATGCACAGGAATCTTCTCAATGTTTAACACCTGCTTGAAGTTAGATAAGGGTCAATGGAATTCAAGGGAGGTTAGACTTAGTTCGCTTGTGGCTGTGTAGGGATTCTAGGCTGATCCCTCTTTTAACTCTGCCTCCAGGTTCTACCACTCCTTCTACATTTATCTACAGAACTGGTGACTTCTAGTTGGAGTAGAGAGTACTGGGCTAATTGAAGAAATTGTTGGACATGATCCTGGCAATTCTCCATGAGACTTTTATTTCCAGTAGGTTTGAGCCAAAACTGGTATTTTGCTTGGCAGATGCGTTGGTTTCATGCCGTCTCATTTTGATTTTTCCAACAGAGCTGAGATTTCCCAGCCATCACTTGTTTGAGCAGCGGAGCCCCCCTCCACCACCGCCCCCCCTTCTTAACAGTGTGCATCCTGTGCCCAGCCAAAACTCACTCCCATTCACCCAGCCTGGACCAGGTTTCAGCCAGCAGGGGCAGCAACCAATGTTTCCAAGAGAAAGGCTGGTAAGGCCAAATCTGCAGCCTCAGGGCCCTATGGGAATCCTTCACTTCAGCCAGCATGGAGCAGCCAATGTACGACCTTTTCTTCCCCCAAGGCAGTCCTTCCTGCAGGTACCAGGGCAGCCGTTCTTAACCCCTCTCACCCAAGCCGGCATGCAGGTATGTAATGATCAGGACAGCCCTCCTCATCTCTGTTGAGTGCTTCTATGACCATTGTAGCCTGAACTTTCAAAGTCTGTGTAGGTCCTCCAGTACAGTTGTTCTTCCTCATTGTTCCCTTTTTGCCTTTTTGAAGGAGCATGATTTTAGATAGTAATACAGATCTGCTATCCGCAGTCACTAAAAAAAAAAGATGGCAACTCTCTTGTCTGGTACTTGGGGAGAATATAACTAGTTTTTACTGTGCCTTTTTGGCTCTACTTCCAAACCCTCTAAAGTGAGTTGTGGATATTGACTGGCCTAACATAGTTATGCTGTTAGAGGGATTCTGGGAGTTGTAGTCCCAACCTATTGGGAGTGTGGCATTTGTGTGTGGGGAACTGTTACAGGTTATTACATTTAGTCTTAGCTTAGAACAGGGGAGTCAAACTGCCAGCTCACAGGCCGGACGCGTCATGCGGAAGCCGCGCTCACCCCATTGCCGGCAATGGCAAAACTGTCCCAATACGTTGTGCGATGTCATGTGACATCGTGAGTTTGACATGTCTGGCTTAGAACATACATTGCTTAAGCAGAATGCTGAGAGAAGCTCGTCTGTAAACAGAGCTTGAATGCTTAGCATTTGAAGCAATTTAAACATGCCTTTTTATTATTGTGCCAAGCATAACAACATTACTCTCATTAATGGCCAGCACTAATTGAATTATAAGGGCTAGCTCAGGGGTCTTCAAACTTGGCCCTTTTATGACATGCCTGGCTGAGGAATTCTGGGAGTTGAAGTCCACAAGTCATAAAAGGGCCAAGTTTGAAGACCCCTGGGCTAGCTGCTTCAAAGAGAAGACATTAAAAAGTGTTGATTTTTGTGAAGCTGTTCACAGACCTAATGGGATTAGAAGTTTGTAATATGGCATTCTGTTACATATTCCTTGGTTTCCTAGATTGATTTACTCCAGGAGAGATACTGAAGTCTATTTCATGAAAACAAGTTTCTGTACTGTGAGTCACTTAAGCATGCATCTAAAAACATTAGGTCTGGAACACTACAATGCTTAGGGCTCCCTCTCTTGGTGCTTTGCTTTCTTCTATGAAAGCTTGAATAACAAACACCAGCTTCTAGTAATTTATTTGCTGATCCATATTTTAGAAAGATTCTGTATTTTATTAACAATCAAAAGTGTTCAAATTCCAGTTGTGATCTTCACCTTCACCCCAAAAAGGAGGAGCTCCACTATAATACAGGAAATGCAAGAAAGCCCTTAGGTTAATTGAATTTTTCAGATTAGAACTGGGTGGGAAATGGGCTGTGTAGCTCTTTAGATCTGAAGATTGAAAGTTGGTTAGAGCAAACAGGTTCAAACTTTAAAGTAGACAATACAGGTAGTCCTTGACTTAACAACCACAACTGGCCCAAAATTTACATTGCTGAGCAAGGTGGTTGTTAAGTGAATCATGCCTGATTTTACAACCTTTTTCCCATAGTTGTTAAGCAAATTACTGCAGTTGTTACATGAATCATACAGTTGTTAAGCGAATCCAGCTTCCCCCATTGACTTTGTTTGTCAGAAGCTGGCTGGGAAGCTCACAAATGATGATCACATGACCCCAGGATTCTGCAACTGTCTTAAATACTTGCCATTTGTCAAGCACCTGAATTTTGATCACATGATTGTGGGGATGCTGCAGTGGTTGTAAGTTTGAGAACCACTCATAAGTCACCTTTTGAGTGCTGTTGTAATTTCAGATGGTTGCTAAACAAATGGTTGTAAGTCAAGGACTACCTCTAATGTCTTTGCCCTGGATTACCAAGATTCTGCTGCTGTCTAATCCTAGGAAAATGTATTTTTTGTTTAAAGAGTTGCAGTCAGCTGCCACACATGCCAAAGCATTTTTTGTCTTCAGCTCCCAATTTCTGAACAACCTTACTTTCTGTTAGAGGTTTTTTTGTTTCCTTGTTAAGTGCTGATTCTGTCTTGCTAGTAGTTGGGGAACAAGCCTGACCTCACAACTGCCATGTTTTCAAATGTACAGGGTCATTTGCACCCTCCTATGCATCCACAGCATCCACAGCCACCGCCACAACATCCACAGACGCCCCAGCAGCACCCCCAACCACCCCAGCCTCACCACCAGACGCACCAGTCCCACCAGCAGCACCACCTGCTGCCTGTGCCTCCCCAGCCTCTGATTCCGGTGGCCCCATCCCAGTTCAGGCTGCACCTGCAGACTTCACAGCAACAGCCAAGTGGCAACTGGATGCAGTGCCAGCAACGGCAAGGTCTAATAAAGGCCAGGCATGTAAGTGTCCTTTCCATACACTAAAAAAAATGGGCTCTTATTGGGCAGGGGCAAGACCTGAACAGTCATCTTTGAAAAGGTGTGAGTTCTGACCTCTTTTACTGCTTGCCCCATCTACTCCCTCTGTTTGTATTTATTTAATTCATCTTTTCTACCCCACCAAATTAATAGACTGTAGGTGGCTAGAATCTGTGTAACATTTTCATTTTTAATATTTATTTATATCCCACTTTTATTTTTATCCCACTTTTCCTCTGGGAGTTTGAAGGAAGTAGGGCTGGTGCTTTCCACAAGTTGTTACTTATTTAAATGTATTGGCTTCCCAACTCCAGTGGATTTTGGGTGGTATATGAAAGTAGGGGGGAAAACATAAAAGCAGCAAAAAGCTTTATAAAGTGGATATAAAAAGTCTACACACCCCTGTTAAAATGCCAGGTTTTTGAGATGCCCACTGTGTCAGATGGGCAGCCCAGATAAAAATAATCTAATAAACAGCAAAGCAAAACAGTGGCCTTAGACCAGGCATGTCAAACTGCTGGCCCATGGGCCGGATGCGTCTCGCTGAAACCGCGCCCACCCCATTGCTGGCAATGGGGAAAAAGTCACGATACGTTGCGCGACGTCATGTGACGTCGCGAGTTTGACATGTCTGCCTTAGACAAATCATAAACATCAACCTAAGGCCTGGGACCAAAGCCAGATTTTCAAAGCTTTCTGGAAGCCTAAGAGAGAGGGCATTGTCCTTATCTCTGGGGGGGGGAATGTTCCAGAGGGTGGGGGCCCCAACAGTGAAGGCACGCTTCCTTGGTCCCACACAATGACAAGGTTTAATAGAGGGGATTTGGAGCACACCCACTGTGCCAGTACCTACTGGGCAGGCAGAAACTATTGGAGACCACTGGTCTCTCAGATACCCAAACTGTATGCAGTATACAAATTATAGTTATACCAGGTGAACTCTTTCGGGTAAATTAGACTGAGACACTTCTCCAGTTATCTATAGAAGAGTAGGGGGTTGAACCAACATTGGTCCATGTTCACTCTCTTAACCACTGCAAATTGCTCTGAGGATACAGTAATTGTGTCCTACCTGCTTGCCTTTCTTTTCTCATTCCACACTCCCTTCTACATCCCTTGTGAACTACATTTTAATATGACTCCCATTCACTCATCTGTTGACAGATTGGTATGGTATGGAATCAAGCTACCACCATATAGGTTGTCTTTGAGTTGAGTGGGACTCTCAAGTGAAAGATGCTAGGAACTGGAAATTAGTAGTTTATAAGCTGCTACAGATTACCTACTGTTACCATGGATTATGAGTTCAGTAATATCAGGTGTAAGCAGTGTCTCATTCATCCCACCACCAGACCTGCCCCACCCAATTAGAGATAGCCTGGAATGAAAGGAGCTGGGGTTGCTTTCACTGGTAATTTTGTAACCCCCTCCCCCAGGGAGTCATGAGTAAGGCTGAAAGAAAGAAAATGTCTTCCTCTTTCTAATAATAAAAGAAACGCAAAGGCAGTTTAAAAACAGCTTTTAATTTACAAAGGTGTAGTTTATCTGAAGGGGGTTATGCCCAGTGGTGGGATTCAAATATGTGAACAACCGGTTCTCTGTGTGGATGCCACTTATGGAAGTCCATTCTGGGCCTGGGCAACAAAAAATTAGCTACCAGTTCTGCCAAAGTGGTGCGAACCGGCTGAATCCCACCACTGGTTATACCACATAATTCCCAAGACACAAACTGGCACCCAAAGTACTTACAGTATTTATTAGAAAACACATGGTAACAAAGAGAAGCATGGATGAGCATCACAAAAAATAGCATGTTTAAAGAAAGTAATAATAAGGTAAGCTCATCTAAAATGGCGACTGAGCCTACTGGAATAATAGTTGTGAAACTTTAAACAATCAGAATAGAGCTGGAAGGGACCTTGGAGATCTTCTAGTCCAACCGCCTGCTCAAGCAGGAGACCCTATACCATTTCAGATAGGTGGCTGTCCAGTCTTTTCTTAAAAACCTCCACTGATGAAGCACCCACAACTTCTGATGACAAGCTGTTCCACTGGTGAATTGTCCTCACTGTTAGGAAGTTTCTCCTTAATTCCAAGTTGCTTCTCTCCTTGATTAGTTTCCATCCCTTGTTTCTTGTCCTGCCTACAGGTGCTTTGGTAAATAAGTTGACCCCCTTGTCTTTGTGGCACCTGTCAAATACTGGAATACTGCTATCATGTCACCTCTAGTCCTTCTTTATAAAGCGGTACTAATACTTCACTAATATTTAAGTGATCCACTAGCACGCCAACGTCCCTCTCACAGTTACTGTTTTTGAGCCAGGTTTCACCTAATCTGTACTTGTACCTTTGGTTTTTCTTGCCTAAGTGTAAAACCTTGCTTTTCTCCACATTAAATTTCATGTTGTTGGATAGGGCCCATTCTTCAAGTCTGTCAAGATCTTTTTGGATCCTGAGCTTGTCTTCTGGGGTGTTGGCTATTCCTGCCAGCTTAGTGTCATCTGCAAATTTGATGAGTTCTTCTATTCCCTTATCTAAGTCATTTATGAAGATATTGAAGAGTACTGGGCCTAAGACAGAACCTTATTGTAACCCACTGCTTATTTCCCTCCATGTAGATGTAGTACCATTAAGGACTACTCGTTGAGGACAGTTTGTCAGCCAGTTACAAATCCATCTGTTGGTGATGCTGTCTATCCCACATTTTCCTAGCTTACCAAGAAGTAGGTTGTGGTCTACTTTGTGGAATGCCTTGCTGAATTCTAAATATACTATGTCCACAGCATTTCACTGGTCTACTAATTTAGTCACTTTGTCAAAGAATGAAATAAGATTGGTGTCATGTGTCTGATTAACGAAACACTTAAAAGGACTTTCAGGCATATTTTTTCCTAAAAGCATTTATTAAGGTTACAGAGACGTCAGTACGGCATGGTGGAAATGCTTAGATCTGGATTCTTTTCCGTTACACATACATTCTAAGCATTTTTCCCTCCCCTATTTTGGGGTCATGGTTCACATCTTCCAATTAACTTGGAAGATGTGATTTACTTCAGGTTTCTTTTTCCCGGGCTTTCACTGTTGCCTGATTTAACTATAAAAATACCAGACAGTTCTGCATATTGTCAAAGCAAGAATATACAGTATTTGCAGCGTTGACATCTGGTTTGGCATGATCTGTTTTTAACAAACTCGTGCTGGCTTTTACTTATAACTTTATTTGTTTCTAGATGTTCACAGATCTGTTTTTTGATTATTTTTTCCAGTATCTTCCCAGGTATTGATGTTAGGCTGATTGGTCTGTAGTTCCCTGGGTCTGTTTTTTTTCCCTTTTTTGAAGATGGGAACCACATCAGCCCATTTCCAATCCTCAGGTAATTCCCCAGTGTTCCAGGATTTTTGAAAGATGTGGTACAATGGTTCTGAGATAACATCTGCTAGCTCTTTCAGAACTTTGGGATGTAATCTGTCAGGTCCTGGTGATTTATATTCATCAAGATCAGATAGGTGTTCCCTAACCATTTTCTTGCTTATTGTAATTTTTATTTATTGTCTTTAACAGTTAGGTTTTTGGTAGGTTGGGCTATAGTTTCTTTTTGCATGAAGACTGATGCAAAGAATGAGTTAAGCAGTTCTGCTTTCTGTCTGCTGCCTGTTACTTCCTTGCCGGCTTCTATAATAATAATAATAATAATAACAACAACAACAACAACAACAACAACAACAATAACAATAATAAAGTTGGAAGGGACCTTGGAGGCCATCTAGTCCAACCCCCTGTTCAGGCAGGAAACCTTATACCATTTCAGACAAATGGTTGTCTAGTCTCTTCTTAAAAACTTCCAGTGTTGGACCATTCACAACTTCTGGAGGCAGGTTGTTCCACTGATTAATTGTTCTGACTATCAGGAAATTTCTCCTTAGTTCTAAGTTGCTTCTCTCTTCAATTAGTTTCCATCCTTTGCTTCTTGTCCTGCCTTCAGGTACTTTGGAGAATAGCTTGACTCCCTCTTCTTTGTGGCAACCCCTGAGATATTGGAACACTGCTATCATGTCCCCCCTCGTCCTTCTCTTCATTAAACTAGACATACCCAATTCCAGCAACCGTTCCTTATGTTTTAGCCTCCAGTCCCCTAATCATCTTTGTTTCTCTTCTCTGTACTCTTTCTAGAGTCTCAACATCTTTTTTACATCGTGGTGACCAAAACTGGATGCAGTATTCCAAGTGTGGCCTTACCAAGTCATTGTAAAGTGGTATTAATACTTCACATGATCTTGATTCTATCCCTCTGTTAATGCAGTTTAGCACTGTGTTGGCTTTTTTGGCAGATGCAGCACACTGCTGGCTCATATTTAAGTGATTGTCCACTAGGACTCCAATATCCCTCTCACAGTTACTACTATTGAGCAAGGAACCCCCTATACTATACCTGTACATTTGGTTTTTCTTGCCTAAATGTAGGACATTACTTTTTTCACCATTGAATTAGATAGCGCCCAATGTTCAAGTCTGTCAAGATCCTTCTGTATCTTAAGCCTACAGTGAGGGAAAAAAGTATTTGATCCCCTGCTGATTTTGTACGTTTGCCCGCTGACAAAGAAATGATCAATCTATAATTTTAATGGTAGGTTTATTTTAACAGCGAGAGACAGAATAACAACAAAAAAATCCAGAAAAAAGTTATAAATTGATTTGCAATTTAATGAGTGAAATAAATATTTGATCCCCTATCAATCAGCAAGATTTCTGGCTCCCAGGTGTCTTTTATACAGGTAAAGAGCTGAGATTAGGAGCATTCTCTTAAAGGGAGTGTTCCTAATCTCAGCTTGTTACCTGTATAAAAGACACCTGTCCACAGAAGCAATCAATCAATCAGATTCCAAACTCTCCACCATGGCCAAGACCAAAGAGCTGTCCAAGGATGTCAGGGACAAGATTGTAGACCTACACAAGGCTGGAATGAGCCACAAGACAATCGCCA